CGCGTGGTGAGTGTCCCGCGTGGTGAGTGTCACGCGTGGTGAGCGTGTAGCCTGTGTGTGTGGTGAGTGTCATATGTAGTGAGTGTCACACGTGGTGAGTGTCACGCGCGGTGAGTGTCACGTGTGGTGTCATGTGCGGTGTCACGCGTGGTGAGTGTCACGCGTGGTGAGTGTCCCGCGTGGTGTCCCGCGTGGTGAGTGTCCCGCGTGGTGAGTGTCCCGCGTGGTGAGCGTGTAGCCTGTGTGTGTGGTGAGTGTCATACGTAGTGAGTGTCACGCGTGGTGAGTGTCACGCGCGGTGTCACGTGTGGTGTCATGTGCGGTGGGTGTCACACGTGGTGAGTGTCACACGTGGTGAGTGTCCCGCGTGGTGAGTGTCACGCGTGGTGAGCGTGCAGCCTGTGTGTGTGGTGAGTGTCATACGTAGTGAGTGTCACGCGTGGTGAGTGTCACGCGCGGTGAGTGTCACGCGTGGTGAGTGTCACACGTGGTGAGTGTGCAGCCTGTGCGTGGCCTGTGCAGGCTGCGTGTGCAAGTCAGTGTGTGCCCCGTGGCTGCATCACTGCTGCTCTGCACTGTCAAGGGGACCCCGCCCTTCCTGGGAAAAGGCTTCCTCAGCCAGGGGCAGTTTTTCTTTCTCCAAAGCTGAAGATGCGATCCTTCCACCCTCACGATGTTGCTCTGTGCCGGGAAGAGCCTGGCCTGAGAGCCAGGCCACCTCAGTTCATGTCCAGACCCCGCCACCAAGCAGGTGGTGCCTCAGGAAGCAGAATCCCTCACTCCACTCAGCAGTACGCCCTGAACACCTGCTGTGCGCCCCACATTGCTCTGGGGCAGGAGGCACCCCAGGGAGCAAGTCACTGCCCGCAGGGGCCTCCTGTCCTAACAGGGGAGCGGCGATCCACCACGGGAAAGTAAAGTAGGGTAGGGGGTCAGGGTGTGGGGTGCTCATCTGGTACCTTGGCCCAGGAGGAGCGCACAATGTCAACAAAGGGTGCAAGTGACTCTTGAGCATAGGGACCAACAGGGACAAAGGTCCTGGGGCAGGAACCAGCTTGGCGTGTTTGGAACAGCGCAAGGAAGCCGGCCTGGGAGAGGCGCGGGACGGTGCAGTGGGGGAGGGGCAGGGAGAAAGGTGGACCTTGCAGGGACGCCCCCCCTCCCCCAAGAGAGATGGGCATTTACTGGAAGGTTAGAGCAGGGGAGAAACATGACTTGATTTTCATGTGGAATAAACCACTCTGGCCCCTGTAGGTGGGTGGGTGGCAAGGGTGGGCACGAGGCCCCTGCAGCAAATCCAGAAGGCCTAGGGGTGACTTCCCCAGAGGTGGGGGGATAGCGTGGATGGGCGGGGGGCCTGTACACGGCCTCTGTTTAGAAATCCAAGCCAGAAGAATTTGCTGGTGGATTGAGGGTGACGGGCGATGGGCAGAGGGTTTAAGGGCAACTCCCGGGTTTCCGGCTGACACCAACGGCTGAATCATGACCCCATTTACCACGGTGAGGACCAGGTCTGAGAGGCAAATGGTCAAGAGCTCAGGTTGGGGTCCAGTGATCAAGTCATTCCCCCCTCTCTTGGGCCCTGCGTTCTTGCTTGTAAAGTGAAGGGGCTGCCGGTGATCACCTGCTGATCCTCTGAGATGAACGGGGTTATTTTCCCATGCGTCCACATTTCCATCTCTGTTAAAGCCGCCAGGGTGTTCTAAGTCCAGAGAGAAGTGACAGGACTCTTTTGATTCTCTTTTGGAGAGAGAAAGTAGAGGGAGGGGTGCAAGGAGGAGTGAGCACGTAGCCCCCCCCCCATCATTCCTCCCGCAGGGCCACACTCACGTCAAAGCCCTGACACCCACAAAAGAAGGAGGGAGGGAGTCAGAGCAAGGGCAGAGATGAGAAGATTCAGCAAAAATACATGCTTCATTTCCTGGATATCTTAAGTTTCATGGACTTCTGAAAGGAAAAGCATTTGAGACTTGCGGCTACAGACCCCCTCAAAGTTGTGACTAGAACCCAGTCATTCAACTTGTCTGAATCTCGGTTTCCTCCACTGTGAATTTAAAGACCTGTACACTTGAATATTCTATGATGCTAATGCTTTTAAGGGACGAACAGAGGCCAAAAATATGGAAAAGTAAGAGGACCCAAAAGGAGAGTTACTGAAGGAACTTTGCAAACATTTTTCATTCAGCACGTTATTTGGGGCACTTACTTTGTTCCCTGAGTTGTAAAGACATAACTGAAAATACAGGTAAGTCCCTTGCTCATGGAGCCTTTATTACTAGGCGATGGATGGAAGGAGAGATAGACAGAAATGTAGGCAATAGACACACAGGCTGGTAGATAGATAACAGACAGACAGGTAGGTAGATAATAGATAGCCAGATAATAAATAATAGATAGATAATAGACAGAGGTAGACAGGTAATAGACAGACAGACAGACAGATAAATACGGGAAGACCAAAACGGAGAAGCATGTTCCAGGATCCTCAGAGCTGTGCTTTCTGTCCCAGGAACGTCAGAAGAAATCACCGAATTACCCAGGAGTAGCCTCTCCTTTTCAAAATCCGAACTAAGCAGAGACTCATTTTGGGCCAGTGGCAAGAAAGGTCAACAACGCATCATCAACTGGAATCCAGTGTCCCTGGTTCTCTTTTGGGGGGCGCCAGGTGTGCCTTCGGGCTGGGACACCTGCCGGCTAGAGGAGCATCCTGCAGGATGCTGCCTCCTCTCCTGCGTGGTCCCCCACCGCCCTCTGCTGGCCAGCAGCGGGAACTCGCAGGAACGCGCCCCGCAGAACTCCAGAACCGGGTCTTCAGGAAAGGTGGGAAGATCTAGGGGGAGCAGGCTGGCGTCTGCGGGTCCCGCCCACCCTCTCCGAATACATATGTGTTTTTGAAGCAATGATACAGCCAACTTAGACTTTCTGGCGTCCGGTGCTGTACAGCTGTTTTAAAACTCGCGTTAGCTTTCTTTATCCTGAAAAACCAAACCAAACCTTCCTATACCTGCCACCTTCTCAGGAATGTTCCCAAGGTGCAAGAAGATGAGAATACATAAACATTTCCAGGACTGAGCAAAGCACTGCACTGTCCATTTCAGGTGATCAAGCTGCCGTTGGCCAAGATTTCCTCTGTGAGCACCCAGGGTCCCATTTAGCTCCAAGACATTTGTGAAGATAATTGTTTTAATTTGCAAATGTGCCTTTTTGTTGGAAAAAATCAGCAGCTCATGCTTTTAGACATTTCACTGTTACTCATTTGGGGAACATACTCTAAGTCATAAAAGACTCCCTTGAGTTGAGAAGCGTAAAGCGAACGTCAGAAGAAATCACCGAATTACCCAGAACTCCTAGAAACCCGCGTCAATGTCTGTGCAGGCTGGTGGCCTGAGGGGGCTCGGTGAACCCCGAGGGCTCCCTGTGGCCCCAACCCTTAGTGCAGTCACAAGCATCAACATTTAAAATGTGAATCAGATCACAGCCGCCACTGCTTCTGGAGCAGCCAGTGCCAGTGTCACAGCTTTACTTAGCAGCACTCAAGTGCCTTCCCGGGTTCCCCAGGCACGTGGCCGGCCCACCTGGCCGGTCCCCCACCACCTCCTTCCTTCTTCTGCCGCTGTTTGCCTTTTCATCCTGCAAAGCTCTCACTGGCTCTAGCTCAGTCCTCTGTCCGCAGGACACTTGCGATGATGACAGTCATCACATCTGCTTATCTGTTACTTCCGGTCTTCGAATCAGATGCCACCCAACGGTAAGTCCCGGCCGTGCTCCTGGCTGCAGCCCCGCAGCCCACCGGGCACCCATGGACCGGTGAGCGAGGAGTGAGTGGTGTGAGCTGAGGAAGGGTGTGAGAGGCCAGTGACCCCAAAGCATTCCGTGCAGGCCACAGGCCTGAGCCCACTCTGTGCAGGCGTGAGCCCCACCCCTGACGCAGGGTCTGGGGACACAGGGCACGGCCAGGAGGCAGGATGACTTCACGCGTGACTTACACTGCTCATACCCACTTTGTCCTGCTCACAGAGCACCAGGGAAGCGGACAGCCATGGCCATGACCTGCGGCCTGGAAGAGCTGTGGGCCACAGGGACATCCAGGACTCCCACACCAGCTCCCGCGCCGGCCGGCCAACGGGCACTGCTTGATGTGGGTCCATTGCCTTCCCCTCAAAGGCCCAGGGACAGGGCCGCTCCGAGGGGCAGTGGACAATCCCATCTTACAAATGGAAGACTAAGGAGCCCTGGTCAGTGGCCGCAGGACACTGCCAGCAGCAGGCTGAGACGCTGGTTTCCATCCTCCCTGCCGGCCGATCGGACCCTGGGCGAGGGAAGTCAAGACCGGGGCCGCCTCCTGGCGAGGGTCCTAGCTGGCTCGCTCGGCTGGCCGCTGGGTCCACGCCTGGGCCCCAGTTGGGCCCCCGAGCCTGCTGGGTCGATGCACTTTTCTCTGCCATTCGTCACTTCCTCCTGGGCAGGCTGTGAGGAGCCCACCCCCAGAGATTGAGGACACGCCGAATGAAGTGTCCAAGAACCCCGGCCGGCAGCCTCAGGGCGGGCTGATGTGGGGGTTCTTCAGGAAGTGGTCCAGCTTCTGGGCCACGGCGTCCAGCTCGCCCGAGTTGGCGTACTGCAGGAGATTGCTCTTCCTCACGAAGTAGTGCTTCAGGAAGTGCTGGCTCACACACTTGTGCAGCTTCCTCACCAGCCGCAGGAAGGCCCTGCTGAACACCTGCCAGTCCCTGGGCTGCGGGTATTTCTCACAGGTCCAGAAGAGCACCGTCTGCGGGGGAGAGGTGGCGTCAGGCCTGTCCGCCGCCCTCAGCGCACGGGGCGCGGGCCTGGGCCGGGGGAGCACGGATCCCCGGCGTGGGACGGGGCACGAGCTCGCGCCCCAGCCTGGGGTGACCTTGCCTGCCGGTCTCTGCGCCCCTCTGCCCTCTCACCACTCTTTCCAGCCACGACCGCTCTCCCTAATCCACCCCTGCCCACTCTGCCTGTGACTTCACAGGAAAGTTGAAAGCCGCCAGCCCGCCATGCTGGCGGCTCTGCCCCAGGGGCGTTCTGGGCCCCTCCGCTCTGTCCACTCCTCCCAGCTGGCACGGTCCCCTGCCAGGGCTCAGAATCTCCCCTCCAGGAACTGCGTGTGGCCGGTGTCCTTCTTCCTCCCCAGCTTTTCAACCACCCCAAGCCTGTCCCCTCCTGCCCTGATCCCCAACTCTCTGTGAATCTAGATTTTCCAGACAATCATGTCCCTGGCTGTCATGTTTTCTCCCCCCCACCCCCCGACTCCCTGCCTCCATCCCCTGTCCTCACTGCTCAGCAACCGCTCTCAGGGAGACCCAGAGTCCCACGCTGCCATGTCCAGTGGGCCCGTCCATCTGCCCTTGAGCCCGCCCGGGGTCTCCCTCTCAAGCCAAGAGTCGCCTGGCTTCCGGGCACCGGGCTGGTGCTTCTGGAGCACTGCAGTGAACGCTGGCCGGCTGGTCTTTAAGAGTCGGCATTTCTGCGGGCGCTCTCGGGGCCTCTCCCCAGCTCTATCTCCCTTTCCTGACAGCTGTTTCAATTCGCACTGACTGCAGCTGACTTCATTTCTCTTCTCCAGCCTCAACTTCTCCTTTGACCTCCTGACCTGCATCTCCTGGAAGTCTGAAAGTTCTCTCAGTCAACAGGGCCAGGCTCAACCCCAGCCTGCCCCAAACCTGCTCTGCTCTAGAACTGCTGACCCAGCCAGTCAGGCAGGACACAAACCTCAGGGTCACCCCTCCCTTGCCGCCCCCAATCAAGTCCCGCCTGAGGGTTTCTCAAAGCGACCCACCTACCCTCGCCTTCCGCCTCCTCTCTCCCAGACGGCAACACTCATCGAACCAGTCTGCACCTACTTTGTCCCTGACTCACAGGTCAGCATCCACGCTGCAGCTGACGTGAGCTTATCTGTCTCTGGTTCTTATTCATAATACCTCGAAGCCTTCCCGGTTTTGCTGACTAAAAGCAAGACACTATCCTCAACATGGTTTGTCTATCAGACTCATTCTCCACCTGCGTCTCAACCCCGTCTCACCCTGGTTCTCATTCGTCCTCCCCGACCAGCCAGCCTGACCCTGAATCCTGCTCTCCTCCACCACAGGCTCGTCCATCACCCACTTCTCCCTCGTGTGCACAGCTCTGACCCTCTCTGCCCAGGAAACTCATCCACCAGATCACCCATTCAACAGTCCCTGGACATGGACTTCTCATAAGCAGAAAGATCACAGCATTAACGCCTCGCATGATAATTGACCTGACCCCTCGTAGATTGTAAACTACAAGAGAGCAAAGGCTTACACACATTTTTGACCACTCTGATGTCACTGCATCCAGCAGAGACACTGGCCCAGGAGAGCCTGTCGGTAACATTCTGACTCAGTGAAATAATTACTGTTGAGCTGAAAACAACTGATGTTGAATATTCCCATTTAAAAAAAAGGGCAATTTTAGCTGCACAGTTCAATATATTTTGGTTCATTGAAATGGTCTTGAGGGAATGAATTGGAGATAATATGTTAGTCAAGAAAACCTACAACCTAGATAGAAAAATCATCTAGGTTTTGGATCAAGCTGTTCTCTTGCTAAGCAAACATGTTGATCAAGCCCCAGCACCCTGGGGTGGGTTTGAGGAATAGACAAGCCAACGAAAGATAAGTTTTTGCTTCAATGAAGCAACCTCTTTAGGGGGAGAGGCGGACTTGGCATGACAACGGTAAATGCTGTGACGGTCACATCCTGCCCACGCTGGCTTCCAGCCCAGTCACTTCTCCTTTCCCCAGACTACAGGCCTTGGCAAGGATGCCCCACCCTCCTGCCATCACCCCATGGCGACGAGCACGTGTGTCATTGGTCACTTTTACCTGGCGGGAGTGATCCCTAGCAGTGACAGGAACCAGCTCTGGAGCGAGGGCTGAAGAGTAGAGAAGTCACTGCCTTGAAATCTCCTGGGTGCTTAGAGACCACTGAATTAAAAGAAAACCCCTGGGGGGCATGCAGTTTGGAGGGCAGACACAGCCGGCAGGTCCTTGGTTGACCTGGTCAAACGCTGCCTAAAATATTCTTGCCCCTCAGTGGGTTTCTGTGCATCTTAGTGGTGAGACAATGGAATCTCTGGGCAAGATTATGCAGTGTTGATAGGACACAGACTGAGGTTTGCTTTTCAGTTCTGGTTCTCCCTAGTTGGTCTATAGAAAGATAGTCGAGAGAGAAGCAAAGTTCCCAAAACAAATTAGACACACCCTTGAGCCAGGAAAACAAGCTGTGTTTTCAGAAAGCATGAGGGGCTAGGCTGAGAATGTGAAACTCCAGAGAAAGGTCCCGGCGAGCAAAGGAGGCGGTAGCAGACTTGCCGGTCAGGGAGGACAGCTAATCGGGGACAGGAAGGAAGCAAAACGCAGGTGAGTGACTTGGGGGAAGAGAATAAATTGAGTAAGAAATGAAGTCATTGAGTCGTTTCACCAGTGCTGACGTACTGCTCAACTATGTGCAGGGCCAGGAGAGGCAGGGTGGGGGGCCACGCGGTGCCCTGAGGTCGCTTCCATGGGAGGAGGCGCTGTGCTCTGAGAGAGGTCAGGTGGGGCAGGCGAGGCAGGCGCCAGCCACCCTCACAGTGACTCCCAGGGACTGTGCGTGCTGGGCCAGGGTCAGAGGAAGGGGCTGCGCCCCGGGCCGAGAGACCTCAGCGCGGACTAGTCTCTCCCCTCCCAGCGGGCTGCAGACGGTGGCATGTGGGTGTCCTCGTCTCTGGGGATGGACCCACTTTGGGAGCGGTCAGGAGCATGACTGAAGATCACCTCTCCAGAAAAGCCCTCCTGACCCCCCATTCCAGCTGCCCAGGCCAGACCCTGCAGCACCCAGACCCCCCAAAGCAACGCCTCTCCTCTGAGTGTCCCCAGGCTCCCTGACGAGGAGCCCCGAGAGAGCAAGAGCCCCGTCCGCCTTGTCCACTTAGTGCGTCCAGGTGCAGACCAAGCAGGAGGCGCTGGCTGGGTGTCTGGCCACGGGGTCTGTGCCGTTTGCTGGGAGTGTGTGGGCAGGCACAGCCGGAATGCAGAATATGGGGTTTGGGCAGAACTCGGGGGACACTTGCCTCATGAGGTGAACCTGGAAGTTCAGATTTGTGAGTGAAGCCGCAACATTTCCTGGTTTCCACCTCTGTGGGGTCTGTCTGCGTGTCTGTGTGTGTCTGCTCCTGAGCGGCTACACTCGGGTTAGCGTGCAGACTGAGAGAGTCATGACATCCAGGAAAACATGAATGTATCTGAGGTTTGAGCTACTCGAAAGATTTCACCAGCTTTCTGCAGGACGATGCTGAGGTGAAATTTGTTTGTGAACCTCAGCAGGATTTCAGGCGTGTGGTGGGAGTCGGGCAGGTCACTGAGTGGGAGAGGCAGGAAGGAGAAGAGGGAAAGAAGAAAAGAAAGAGAAGGGGACGGGGGAGCTGGCCGGCACGGGCAGGAGGCAAAGGTCAGCGAGTCTGGGCAGCTGCGGAGGACGCCAGCGGCCCAGCCAGGCGCCCCCGCGATGAGCAATCCCCGAGGGCCATGTAGACACCAGTGCCCCGTCCTGAAGTGCCACCCCTGCACCCCGCCGGGAGAGGCTCCGGCCGGCCCCCGCTGCGGCGGGCCCCTCCCAGCCACAGCGGTCCAGGCCGGCCCGCTCACCTGCAGGTGGTGCGCCGTGAGAACGGGCCGCTTCCCCGGACACCACTCGTCCTCCGTCATCTGCCTCAGGGCCTGGAAGCACCTCCGGCGGCAGCCGCCGTCCTCGTCCAGCTGAGCCAGCAGCACATGCTCGGCCCGCAGGAAGCTCAGCTGCCAGTGGTAGTTGGAACAGGCCAGCAAGGTGAACCCCAGGGACTGGAAGAGAGCACACAGGACAATGGGGGGACGGTGTCCAGCAGGAAGCCCTCTCCAGGCAGCTAGGCAGGCCGGACACGCCTGTGGGGGAGCCTCAGGGCAACCCCCGGCACGTGGGGGGGTCAGCTGAGAGGCGGTGCCCACTCTCCCTTGGACGGGGGTTCCCAGCTTAAACCTACACCCCAGTCATTGGGGAGCTTGTCAGAACAGCTCCCTGGGCCCTGTCTACCAAAGGCCACACAATAGGCCCAGTGGCCCGGGGGGCTGCTAACAGGTTCTCGGGGTCACTGTACGTTCGGGGCACACTTGCAAAGGGCATCCTCAGGGGGCCCCGCTTCCCCTGTGGAAGCTGCTGGGCAGCAGAGAGGCTGTGACTGGCTGTGGCTCCCACCGGTACCTTGATGCACTTGACCCTCTCGGGGCAGGGCCAGCGCTTCGGACATCGGGGCCACCGGGCTTTCTCGGGCCAGGCGCTGGGGATCTCCACGGCGGGGGCCAGCTGCAGCTCTACCTGGCACACAGATGTCTGCACCACGACCCGGACCGAACAGCTGTTGGCTAGCATGCTGACCTTATCTGGCGGGAGATGGCGGGAGGACCGTAAGGAGAGGAATCTGGGCTGGCTGCGAGCGTTCACAGGAGTCCGTGAGCAGCTCCCTCGGGGGAGGGGAGGGGGCTCTCACTGTCCGGGTAACACGCCACGTGTGGGGGAGGGTGCTGACTCAAGACTGGACAACCGGCCAAGTCAATAAGGACAGAAACATTGCGAGACCATTGTGTTACTGGCCACGTTGGCTTCTTTCTTTCTCCCTGCGACCACAGGATGTTAGGGCGCCTTTGCTTTTACATTACTAGGGTCTTTTTAGAAAGTGCCCCACTGTTTTTGGGGGACAGCCTTGGTCCCCTTACTTATTCTTGACCATTGATGGGGTTGGGCTTGACAAGTCTTACTCGAGTCTCATGTGGTTAATTGTCTCCACCAGCCTAACATGGGTATGCTATTTATCATCACGAGCCCTTGTGACCCAAGCCTTCTTCTGTGCATGACATAACCACTGGCTGACAGGGCCAGGGGACTGGGAAGGGGCCCTCACGGCCTCTTGCGGAGCAGGAGTGGGCAAAGCAGATGCTGCCAGCTTGCACACGGCCATTCATGTCTAATCCGGTCCCTTTTCTTCAAAAGGTGCACACCTGGTTTTTCTGCCAACCTGGCAGAGCGGGGTGATCTGCCGTGAACTGGCATCAATTACTTTCCTTCTTCTTGCTGAGAGAAGGAAATGGAAGCTCCTTCACTCATTGTCTTAGGTTTTTGTTAAAAAGGAAAACACTCCTCTCCTTGGCTGGGTGTGATACAGAGCTCATTGTGTGAATGTCATCAGGGCTGCCCGACAGGAACGCCAAACACCGCGGTGTGGCGTGCGACCTTTGGCAGGTCACTTAATTGTCTAAATCTCAGTTTCCTCATCTGTCAAACGGGCAGAAAAATAAATGTCTATCGGGTTGCAGTGTGAGCGTTAAATTAAGTGATCCACATCAGTGTCCTATGCGGACGTATCTCGGGGGGTGAACCCCGAGATACGTCTATTCTGGAAACGTTCCGAGCTGTGAACAGCTAGACAAGCAAATGCACCCACAGTTCCTCTTCTTTCTAGCCAAATGGAATGGAACATTATTCAACACTTTGTTTTCTCGTTAAATTATCTAGCCTGGGCATTTTGCAAACTCACACGTGTGCCCGCGTGTGTGTGTGTGAGCGACACCCCAACCTTTTCAAAGGCTGTCTGACAGCCCCCAGGCAGAGGCCACACAGTGGAGTCCAGTCCCCTTTGTTAGTCTTTTAGATTATGTCTAATTATCTATGATGGTGAAGCCCATGGCAGTGCAGATGCGTGTGTATTTTTTGTGTATCTCTAGACATGTATTTGCAGAACCAGAATCGCTGGTTTGCCAAGTAAGCACATTATAAAAAAAAAAAAAAAAAAGTGGACACATTCCTCTTTAGGAAGCAGGCACCAATTTAGACTTCAAGAGCCGGGTATAAAAATGCCAGTGTGCCCCCCCCCCACCTCCCTGCCAGTGTGTGAGGAGACTGGGCGTGCACTTCTCAAAGTACATGGCAAATGGCACCTGTTTTACTGCACCTTTATTATCTTTGTGATTTATGTTTTTTCTGATGATTCCTATTAGTTTGTTCGTGTTTTTTTTTTTTTTCTTAGAGGTTTATATATATTCTTTGGTAATTAAGGTAGTTAACCTTTATCTTCCCAGTTCGAACCTTACCCTTTTGCTCTGGATACACAGAGAGGGTGTGTGTGAGTGTGTGCACAGGTGACAGGCCTCTGTGCCTCAGTCCTGCGGTTTAAGATCTGGGGGTTACCCGTCTCTCGATAGCTTCTGATTCTGTGTTGGCCACGTTGATGGTTTCCAACTGTGGTACTCCACCCCTGAGGTTAGTGCCGGCAATTGGAGGGTGTCCAGTGAGAAGAGCGTTAACAAGATCTAAGGTTGGTAAATAACTTACTTCTTTAAGATCTAAGATTTGTAAGGAACTCACTTTTTAGTAAAAGTACGAGGGTTGCTGCTAACTTTCTGGGGCAGGTGTATAACCTAGGCGTGTCGGCTCAGGTCAGGGAAAACGGCCCCCCAAATCCACGGGCAGGCGCCGGGCCCAAGCGGCCCACGCAGCTCCTGTGTGTCACACCAGGGAGAGAGGGGCCAGTTGACAGCGCACAGGAGCGACCACTGACCGTCTCAGGCCGGGGTGCGGGCCGCAGGCCACGCCCAGGCAGCCCTCCTGGCGCCGGGAGGAAAGCCAGACACTGCAGGTCACGTTTCCGAGCCGCTCACCTGCGAGGCCACAGGCGCCGATGGCCATTTCCACCAGCTTCCGGAGCACATGGAGGACCTTGGCGGGCACAATGTCCCCCTCGATGTTCACGTCATCCTCGTGCCACTGCCACAGGCTCTTTGCAAACTGCTCCACCGCCAGCCACTGCTGCAGAGCCTCGGGGTCCCGCAGCGGGCAGGGCAGCCGGCCACCCTGTAGAGTGTAGTACCGCCAGCGCCGCTCCCGGGCCCCCCGGTACCCCGCCAGGCCTTTCACGGGGACCATGACGAGGAGCTGGTGGGGCCCTAGAACCTGGGGTCAGGGAGGAGACAGGACGAGAGTGAGTTCACAGACTTGGGGGCAGCAGGAGGCTGGGCCAGGTCTCTTGGCGAACTCGGGGGGAACCAGCCGCTCCTGCTGGCCCTAAGATGACCCCATCTTTGTCCTGCCGCTAACCCGCTGTCACCTTCAGGCGTGGAGATTAACTCCCTGAGTGCTGGCTTCCCTGAGGAAAAGGTAAACTGCTCCTTGCACTCAGTGGCAGACTGCTGATGTGCAGGGGGAGAAGAAAAGGCAGAGGCGGAACCATGCACGTTCTGAACCCAGCAGTTCTGACTAGATCCTCAGGGCCACGCCTGAAGGCGCCTACGGCTCAGAGGGGCTCCCAGGTCTCGGGGCGCGGGGGGTGGCAGGGCCAGTGAGAGGCAGAGCTACAAATTTCAGAGGCTGGGTCTTCCGATTGCCTCCTCGGGGTGGCTTTAGGTTCTGCACCTGCTCGCAGCCAAGCACGCGCAACCTGGCACGGCTGGGAGTTCTGGTGGGAGAGGAGAAAGAATGATGCAAATGCCTTCTTCTTTTCCACCTGTACTGATGACCCAAGGCCAGTATTGGTGACTAAACCTTAAAAACCAAAGGTGGGGCCCTCCCTGGTGGAGCGGCTGGTTAGAGCACTGCACTGAGAAGCTAAAGCCACTTCCGCATGAGTTTGATCCCCGCCTGCCCCGGAGGTGACCCACAGGGCACAGCAGACCTCTCCTGACCCGCTCGCTGCTCCCCTCAGCAGTGTACTTCGTCAATCTGCCTGTTCTGCTCCCCACTCTGTCTCTGGTGAAGCCTCTCACCGCCCCTGAGCCTCTGGCCTGTACCCCAGTTCTGTATGCACAAATAAATAAATCTTTAAAAAAAAAAACAAAACTAAAGGTGGAATGAAATGATTTGTGGAGACAGTGCAGCTACTGAGGTTTATCTAAGTTTACTGGAAAAACACGAATTATCGATCATCTATCTACCCGCTTCCTTTCTCCAGGGCCCAGGTAAGCCGGGGTCAGGGGAAAGGGGTCAGGGCCACAGTCCCAGGGAGGAACTGGTCAGCAGGGTAGCAGCACCCTGAGGGAGCTGGACCTTTGACCACCCTGCAAGACAGCCCACTTCACCCTGCTCCTTTTCTGCTAATCAGCTGTTCACGCAGAAGACAGCTGGGTGAACTTTTTCATGAAAAGTTCTGACAATGGCATCTGCTGAGCTTTGCCTGGGGCCCAGGCATGGCTCACGCCCAGCAGGTGACCAGCAGGTGACCAGCAGCAACTGGTTCCGTCTCATTCTTAGAGAACAATAGTCTGATGCTTAAGAAGATGGGTTCACATGGTTTCTGGTGTCCAGGGACAGTTTATGGGATGACAAAGGGAGGGAGGGGGTGGGGCCTCAACTGTAGCATTCAACATTATCTGAACCTGCTTGCCGTGAGCCTGGGAACATGAGTACCAAGTTGCCGGTTGCGTAAGGGTGCTTGCGGTGTTCGGTCCACATTATCGGGTTGTCGGAAAAGTTATGACACATTTTTTCTACGTTGTTCAAGCAAAAATGAGTCACAGCTTTTCCAACAAGCCAATGAAATGCAAGTAATGTTTAGATACCCCCCGTAATTATGTTTCACACTTCACATCAGGAAATGACGTGAATCCTTGGAAGATGCATCTGAAACCAGGAATTCTAAGGGGAGGTGCTGAGGGAAGTTTCTTGGGTATAGAAAGTGAGGCTGTGTTTCTGTTCCTTGTCACTGCTTTTTGTAATATAGGTCATGTTTGTGCAATTTATGTTGGCCTGGGCTGGTCGAGGTGGGTAGATCACGTTCTGACATCCCAAGACTCAAGCCAGGCTTATAATTTTCACTCTGGGGGGAATTTCCCCACATCTGGTTCTATCCCTACATCCAGAAATTCCAGAATTGTGTCCTGTGCCCACTAATTATGAAGTGTTCTGGACAGCAATGGCACTCTGTGCAGGTGTGAATCATTTGCCCATTCCTTCACTCACTCATTCATTCGAGTCGAGTGTCTACTCAGATCACACACTAAGCTGTCTGCTGGGGATGAAGTATCTCAAGTGTGATCCTTCCCTCCCAATCAAGAACCAGTGTGGTGTGAGAAATATGGTATAAATATATTTCCATTTAACAGGTGAGAAGAGTTTTAAATGTGTCATAAAAAATTAAGGTAAAAGAAGCATGGGGGTTCAGAACAATGGGGAGACTCACTTCTCTCCTCTCTAAACAGGACAGAACTGTAATGTCTCTTCCATAAAGTTGTTTGCAGGCTCAAGTGAGAGCTTTGTGTGACAAAGACTTTGTTCACGCTTCAGGGTGATGGCATTCTGGCTGCTCCCACTGGCCCTGGTAGCTTACAGCTCTGTGGGATTCCTAGCAGGAAGAGGTCGTTCCAAAGGACCTCCAGCAGTTTCTAAGGACCTCCTCTTTCATGTCCCTCCTCCACCTGCAACCCAGACTTTTATTTTCAACTATTTTCTTGCCAGCAGCCTGAGTTCTCTTTACCCAGGCACCAAGCTACTCCACAGCACATGAACAAGGGCTTAGCTACAGGCCAGTCAGTCTAGCAGATGACGGTGGCTGTCGGAGCCGGGTTTGGGTTCTGGCTTTGGGGCTAACGTGACTTGATCAAGCCATTTGCCTCCTTTGAGCCTCAGTTTCCCCATCTGTCGTGTTATTACAGGAGGGCTCACCTGAGAGCACACCTGTGAAAGGAGTGTAAAGGGTGAGTCCTGAAAGGTACATGTGGAACAGGAAGTACTGAGGGTGCTTTCAGCAGTGGGGCGGGGGAGGGGGAGTCCTCTCTGAGTTCCGCCCCCATCCCCGGCCTCTACCTGGGTGCCCAGGTGAGTGAGACCCACTCACCTTGATGTTCCCGTTGTACGTCTCGGAGTAGGGGACAGCTTGGAATCGCACATCCCGGTGGCTGATCTCTGTGGTCAGACGCTGGACGATTTTCTGCACCTCTTCCACAATCTGGGAAACCCACTGGCGGCGCAAATCCACCTGAGTGTGAAGGTGGAGCAAAGGCCGTTACTTCCCGAGCAGACCTGTAGCGCTGACGGGAGGTTGGAGGGGCAGGGCTGCAGTGAGTGACCAGAAGCAGCAGCCGCTCACAGCTCCTGCCCTCCCGGCAGCTCCAGGGGAGAGCAGGTCACTACCTTCATGTTCTCTTCTGAAATAGAAGCATTTGCTCAATATTTATGTAGTACTGACAGGCAGTAGGTGCTGCAGTCCCACGCGGACAAGAAAATGGCCAGGGAGAGGGATGTTTGTGCTCTAGTTGAAACTAGAAAATATGGGTGTATATGTATCTGTATACACTCATGGGCACATACAATACACACACGTACACATGTGCTTGTATACACACACAGGTGTGTGTGTGTTTCTAATGTAACAGATATGAAAAGTCTCATGAAGAAAAATCAAATAGATGAGGGACTAGAGAGTAAGGGGCTGCTGTTTTAGAAAGGGGGACCAGGGAAGGCTTTTCTAAGGTGATATTTGAGTGAGCCCCACAACATCTTAGAAAAGCAAATTTTAGACCTCTAAAGGTTGAGAGGGCAGTGAGGATGTCCCTGGGGCCAAGACTGGTAAAGAAAATGAGGGTGCTAAGAAGAATCTGGAGAAGAAGGCAGGGTCTAGCCTTCATGCGGGTTAGTGAGTCTGCAGTAAGGGCGCATGAGGCTGGTATCCAGGTGGCGACTGTTAAAGAGTCTAACAGGCTGATTGTTTCCAGCTTATGTTGTCAGTAAATGATGGTTCTCTGTGTTCATTTCCTCCTTTTGCTATTAGACTCATAAGAAAAGGTTATCAGACCCGTAAGAAATGTGTTTTGTCTGACTCTCCAGAAATGGAGTCAGCACTCCATATGGGAAGATACCCATATGCAAGTGAACACCAAAATAGTTACACCTTAAAGATACTAAGAGTTAGGGAAATAAATGTCTGTAGAAAACACCAAGGAACTTTTAGTAAACTCCAGGAGAGAGAAAAATCCAAAGGAGGGAGAAATGAGGAGTCTGCTGGGATTTCTGACACCCCTGAGGCACCTGTTGGAAGCACCATGACCAGAGCATCTGAGACACCACCGGGCCCCACCAGGAGCAGCGGAAGCCATCTTTGATGCAATTATGTCGTTTGTCCACCTGTGAATCTGTATATTCTTTCTGAGTTTTTGTATCATGGCTGTTCTATAATTTAGAGAATAACTCAAGAAATCCATTAACTATTCAAGGAAATGATAAAAAGCCCAAGTGAACTGTAGATGGCCCAGCGCCTGTGGAAAGAAGCATGGCAGTTTCTCAAAAGTTAAAAATGGACCTGTCATATGACCCAGCAATTCCACTCCCATGTATCTACCCAAAGAATACAAAAACACAAATTTGAAAGGAAACCTGCCCTTCTGTGTTCCTTGCAGCACTGTTTATAAATACCCAAGGTGTGCACACAACATTGGTGGCACAACCTAAGCGCCTAAACACAGATGAATGAATCACAAGAACATACATAATGGAATACTACTCAGCCATAAAAAAGATAAACCCATGCCATTTGCAGCAACAAGATGGAGCTAAAAGGCATGATGCTAAGTGAAATAAACCAGTGTGGGATGATAAAAAAAAAAAAAACAAAAAAACAAAAAACAGTGTCGGCCCTCCCTGGTAGCACAGCGGGTTAAAGCACTGCACTGAGAAGTTTAAGCCACTTCCGCATGAGTTCGAT